CTTTCAATGCATTAACGCGCAAGTTTCCAGCTCTCTTCATTTAGACGAAATTGATTGTCTTCGAAAGGACTGCGAAAATGCGCCTGAAATATTGTTGAAGCCAAAAGCGGCAAAAGTTTAAAAATTCTTCCAGAAATTCCTGATGCTGGTTTTGTTTCGAAACTTTCACCATTTGGAGAGCGATATTTTGGCCTTCCAATACGGTGACGCCCAATTTTGCGTCTCTCTTCGTTTGGAAGAAATTGATTGTCTTCGAAAACAGTGCGAAAATGAGCTCGAATACTTCTTGAAGCCAAGAGCGGCAAAAGTTTAAAAACTCACCGATAAATTCCTGATGATGATTTTCTTTCGAAATTTTCACAACGTGGAGCGCAATCTTTTCTCTTTCCGATTCAACAGAGCGCCAGTTGTGTTCTCTTTCCATTTAGAAGAAATTGACTGTTTTAGAAAGCGCTACTAAAATGAGCCTGAAAACTTGCTGAAGTGAAAAGCCGCAAAAGTTTAAAAAAAATTCGAGAAGTTCCTGCTGATGATTTTATTTCGAAATTTTCACAATTTTGAGTGCAAAGTGTTCTTCTTTCAACCCAATAACGCGCACTTCGTAATCTCTCTTCATTTAGAAGAAATTGACGATCTTCGAAAATGCGCCTGAAAGCTTGGTGAAACCAAAGGCGGCAAAGGTTTAAAAACATTTCCTAGAAATTCCTGACGATGATTTTGTTTCGAAATTTTCACCGTTTTGAGCGCCATATTTTCTCCTTTCAATGCATTAACGCGCAAGTTTCCAGCTCTCTTCATTTAGAAGAAAGTGATTGTCTTCGAAAGGACTGCGAAAATGCGCCTGAAATATTGTTGAAGCCAAAAGCGGCAAAAGTTTAAAAATTCTTCCTGAAATTCCTGATGATGGTTTTGTTTCGAAACTTTTACCATTTCTTGCGCGATATTTTGTCCTTCCAACGCGGTGACGCCCAATTTTGCGTCTCTCTTCGTTTGGAAGAAATTGATTGTCTTCGAAAACAGTGCGAAAATGAGCTCGAATACTTCTTGAAGCCAAGAGCGGCAAAAGTTTAAAAACTCACCGAGAAATTCCTGATGATGATTTTCTTTCGAAATTTTCACAACGTGGAGCGCAATCTTTTCTCTTTCCGATTCAACAAAGCGCCAGTTGTGTTCTCTCTCCATTTAGAAGAAATTGACTGTTTTAGAAAGCGCTGCCAAAATGAGCCTGAAAACTTGCTGAAGTAAAAAGCCGCAAAAGTTTAAAAAAAATTCGAGAAGTTCCTGCTGATGATTTTCTTTCGAAATTTTCACCGTTTTGAGCGCCATATTTTCTCCTTTCAATGCATTAACGCGCAAGTTTCCAGCTCTCTTCATTTAGACGAAATTGATTGTCTTCGAAAGGACTGCGAAAATGCGCCTGAAATATTGTTGAAGCCAAAAGCGGCAAAAGTTTAAAAATTCTTCCAGAAATTCCTGATGCTGGTTTTGTTTCGAAACTTTCACCATTTGGAGAGCGATATTTTGGCCTTCCAATACGGTGACGCCCAATTTTGCGTCTCTCTTCGTTTGGAAGAAATTGATTGTCTTCGAAAACAGTGCGAAAATGAGCTCGAATACTTCTTGAAGCCAAGAGCGGCAAAAGTTTAAAAACTC